GCGCCCGCCCAGGAAAGGTCCAGACTCACCAGTGGGGGCCCAGGCAGGCAGCAGTGGAGGGCTCGGAGGGAGCAGGGCCAGAGAGAAGTCCCCAGGGCCAGCCTGCCTGCCACTTCCTCATCTGCTGGGCCGACTTTCTGTCACCAGAGGGGGAGGGGGCGGGCCGGGTGGGGGGCGCTTGCTGATTGGGTCTTCGGCTGAGGCAGGAGGGGCAGTCCAGCCTCAACTGGGCTCGGCCCGCAGGGCGGGAGCAGGGGCGGGCCGCCCGATCCCGGGCAGGAAGCACGCCCAGCCCCGACTCCCCACCCCTTCCCTCGGCATCACTCAGCCCGCCGCTGTCAGCTCGCGCGGCCTGGCTAGGGCCGCCAGAGTCGTACCCTGCTTCTTCCTGACATTCAGCCCATGAATGGCCTTATTCTGGGCCTTCTGGTGATTAATCCGCCAACACGACCAACACATCTGCGTGGGCAGGCAGGCCCACCCAGCTTAGGGCCCTGGGAAAAGTTCCAGGGCTCAGCCCTTTCTCAAAGAGCCCCCCTCTAGAAAGGGGGAGACCTGAGCGGCCGTGAGCCACAGTAGCAGGGAGGTCTCTGTAGGAGGGAGCAACTGGGCATGCAAGCCTTCCCTCCGAGCCCATACGTCTGCATGAGCCCTAGCATTAGGAGTCGCTGAGGATGTCGTGGCATGGAGGTGGGAAAATACAAGTTGCCGGGGTACAGCCCCTCTGCCCTGTATAGGCCGGTGGCAGGTGGTGTGGTCTGAAATGCATCGAGTGAAACCCTTGTTACATGCTATGCACATGTGTGTTTTGTGTCTCACTGTGTTTGATATTATATGATATTTATTTAAGAAAGCACTAAACTGTAATAAAGCATTTAATTTGCTTTTTATTTAAACACACACACACTCATACACACACACAAGTGGCCTGGGGCAGGAACAGGGAGTGAGTCACTGGCTGGCTACACTGGCCGTCCAGGCAGTGAAAGGGAAAGAAGGAAAGTGAAGCTGGCTGTGGCGGTGGCTGAATGTAGATCTTGAAGGTCGAACTGGGCACTTTGACTTTATTCTGGAAGCAGTGGAGAAACAGTGAAGATTTTTGAGGAGGCTATAATCAAATAATTCATCAAATATTTATAGACAACCTGCCATCTGCAAGGTGCTGGTGACATCCGAGAATAAGGCAGAGCTGTCCCTGCAGGGGTTTACCATCCAGTTGAATCACTTCACTCTGGCAGCCAGTATGAAGAGGGCATTGGAGAGACCAGTGAGAGATACAGCCTGACCTAAGAAGACCTGGAAATTGATGGGAATGGAGAGGCAGACGCTGTGAGATTTCCCCGAGTCAACTGTCTATCCAGTTTTCCCTCTTCCACACTCAACTGGACTGAATTCTTGGGGGTGACTAGGTTTTAGTGAAATGAAATCTTTATCTTCAGTAGCTCCTGGAATAGTGCTTTGCATATAATGATCTAATAACTGCTTATAGGATTGGATGGTGCAAATGCAGATAGAATAAGGAATTCAGAGGAGACAGTGGTTTGGAAGAAATAATATGTTCCTAAATGGTTGGATGTAGCTATACAGTGGGGCCTTGACTTACGAGTTTAATTCGTTCCGAGACCGAGCTCATTAAGGAGCTCGTTAAGGAGCTCGTTAACTCAAATTACTCTATCAACTCAATGCAAAAAATCGGCCGAGAAACTCGTTAGTCGGGACACTCATAAGTCAAGGCCCCACTGTATAGAAGTTCAGTCTTAGAGGGAAGAGGTCAGAACCAAAGTATACCTATGACCCAGCCCATTAGTACCTGCCCTTAACAGGAAATGGCAGAAGAATTCAACTATTCAAAAGGCTCAAACTTCAAATTGTACACTAAGGCATACCTGATCTGGCTCTCAGTCTCCCGTTCCACCTGTGCCATTCTCCTGGGCCACATCCTATGCTTTAACCATTCCCCAAAGATGTCAGCATCTTTCATACTCCCCACTTCTCCAAGCCTTGTTCCCTGGCTCAACACAAGATACAAGGAGCTCTTCTAGGCAATAAATCGTTCCCTCTCCCCTTTCTCATAACCTTACTACAATGTAATTATTTGTATCACCCTTCCCTCCACCCCAAGTTCTTCTCAGCAGGGGCTATGTTTTAGTTGTCTCTATCTCCAGCATCCAGTCCAGCACCTGGCTCATTTGACCCTCTATGTTTGTTGAGTGAATATTAGAGTGAATGAAACAATGTGAGAAAGGGAAGGAGGTCGAGGGACCAAGAGTCAAGGTGGGGAGGATAGTAAGAATTCGAAAGCCTTTCTACTTCCTTGGAGTAGCAGTATTCATTGAGTCAATAAATATTTATTGAAAGCCTAATGTGTTCCAGGCATACTTCAGTGGCTTCAGGATCAGAACTGTCTCTAAAGGCTTGAGTTAAAATCTTCCAGTTAGTACCTGTGTGACTTTCTGTAAGCTGCTGACCTTCTAGAAAATGGGGACAACAACAGTACCTATCTCATTGGATTGTTGTGAAAATTAAAGAGCCCGGCCAGTGTGGCTCAGTGGTTGAGCATCGACCTATGAACCAGGAGATTACGGTTCGATTCCCAGTCAGAGCATATGCCTGGGTTGCAGGCTCAATCCCTAGCTGGGGGCATGCAGGAGGCAGCCGATCAATGATTATCTCTAATTAAATAAAAAAATATATATATATTTAAAAAAAAACAAGATTAAAGGAGATAACCCACGTGAAGTGCTTAGCATTGTTTCTATCTCAACATTTAGTAGACAAGGTGGGGGGTAACCAGTATATCAAGAAGGTATACATGTGTATGTAGATTCATGAGCATTCATTTAACAAATATTTCCTAAATGCTTACTGTACAAAGCACTTTTCTGAGAGTGCTATTGAGAGGTTTTGGATTCAGTGTCCATCTAGAGATGAACTAGAGAAGAACAAAGCAGACCATTATTGACAACGAAACTATCCCAGAGGCCAATCATAGTAATAGGGAACTTCAACTATCCATGTATTCACCTGGACCACATTGGCAAAAAGACCATGGCAAGCCCTCAGTAAATGCTGATTTATTACATGAATGAACATGCTGAAAGACTCACTTCATTTGATTTTTGTCCTCGTCCTGGGAGAAAGTATCTTCAAATATCTGATATGGACCACTTAACCCCAAGTCCTACCAAATGGCATCCCCATGGCTGTGGGATTCCTGTAAAATACTCACAGTCTAGTGGGGAAGAAAGACACATAAATGAATAATTTGAGTAGCAAGTGTTACATATTCCCACAGAGATAAAACCAGAGATTATGAAAGCATAGGGGTAGGGGTGGGGGACACTGTACTCCAAGGTGGGAGTTAGTTCTTGAAGGTTTCACAGAAATGACACCTTTGCTGAGCATTAAAGGACACTTTATAGAAGGCAGGGAAAGACATTACAGGCAGAGGGAAGCATGTGTTTAAAGGCATAGAAGCTAGACATGTGGCAGGTTTGGGGAGCTCTAGGTAGTGTGGTGTGGCTCTAGCTCAGAGGGCATATGGGTAAGGGCAGGAAATCTAGGCTGGAGTCAGTTTATGAAGAGCCCTGTATTCCATGGTTTGAATTTTATTGTTTATCTTTTTCTGTCCTGGCTGCACACTAGAATCACCTGGGGAGCTTTTAAAATATCAATGCCTGGCTCTCACCTCCATATTGATTCTGATGATTTTTTAATGGGAAGAGGCTTGAGTGTGTTTATGTACTGTGTGGAAGGAAACAATGGGCTCCAGCATACACCTCACAGACTGAGATGTGTGAAAGGAAGAGTAAGTTTGTCAATGGACCGGGAGGAAATGGAAGAGTTTGGGACCTGTGGGGAGGCTAGATGGAAGGCCTTGGAGGTCAGAGGGTTCAGTGAAGGTTCCCACACCAGGGGCAGGCTGATAAACTGGAGGGATCTAGGAACTCACAGTTTTGTTTTGTTTTTTTAATTTAAAAAATTTAATTATTGATTTGAGAGAGAGAGGGAGAAAGAGAAAGGCAGAAACATCAATCTATTGTTCCACTTATTTATGCATCCATTGATTGATTCTTGTATATGCCCTAACCAAAGATAGAACCCGCAACCTTGGCATATCAGGACAACACTAACCAACTGAGCGACCCAGCCAGGGCCAGAAACTCACAATATTGATAAGGATGACAGGAAATCAGGTGACAATTTCCCCTGGGTCCCATCCTGTCTGACTGCCTCCTCACTCACTGCTCTCTAAGGGGCCCTTCTCCATCCTCTTTCCCCAGAAGGCATGGATTTACTTTCTCCATGGGTTTAGTCTGAAAACTGTCACCTGTATAAACTCTAACAACTCTATCATTATTTTAGGCTTTATATTTCAGCAGAAAAATTAAAGGAAAGTGGAATCAAACAAACAGGAATGGCAGTAAGTAAAAAATAAGGTATATCTATATGGGAGTGAGTGAGTGAGTGAGCAGGTGGAGCAGTGGAATAGAGTATGGGAGAGGCGGGCGGGGGGTAGTGGTGGTGGTGGCGATGGGAAGGTTGTCATCTAAGAACAATAGAAACTAAGGGTCTAGCCAGCAGTGGGCAAACTATGGCCCGCGGGCCGGATCCGCCCGTTTGAAATGAATAAAACTAAAAAAAAAAAAAACTGTACC